GCACAATAAAGCTTAAAAATCACTATTTTAGAACATGGCTATTTACTTGTTTGAGTATTAACTCTCTTGTCAGAATAAATGCACCATAGGAATACATATTTACTAGCATACCTGCAAGTTTGTACAGCCCTACACAATTGTTTTTTTGATGGAAACCTTGACGCTCATACTGGTGAAGAAATCCTATCTAGACAACATCTCAAAATTAACAAAATATATGTTTTTCTGACTGAATGAGGATAGTTTATTTCCTTCCACCAGCTTCATTTGGCCTCTGCAGTCTCAGCCACACTGAGCCTATCCTTGATCCTGCATTTCTGCTTAAAACTAAACCAAGAAATTGGAATATTGCCACTTATGAAGAAGTTATCGCTTTATTGGACTTTCGCATTATTTTTCTCTAAGTATAACTGCCCTTCGCAGCTAGGATAGTGAACATCAAACAAAGAAATTCCTCTTTTATAGTGTGATTTCATCTGTGTAACATATGATTTTATCATCATTGCAATATTATTGCACATTCTATTCCAACAGCAAACTGAGATGTGCACACAAGTATAAACCATAAATAATATACAAGAAAACTGTGCTGTAGTTAAAGTTTTATTTTTCTGCACATAGTTATTTTCTTCTATTTAGTAAGAATTGAACATAGAAATTGATAGTTCAGCTAACTGGTAATTAGCATAGCGGTGAACCAGACTTGTTCAGCAGTCTACAACTTCATGGATACTTACCTTAGCTGCTTCTGAGACAGCCACTGTGTTATTTCAGCTCAGAGAAAAAATATTTTATAAACTAATAGGACGTCCTTAAGTGTGAAAATTAGGTTATACATCTCTGCATATCTCAAAGAGCAAGTTTTTGACATCTAATATATTACTGCAAGTATTCTACTGTTTCACATGAATCAAGTATATTGAGCATGAGATTTTGCATACTGACCTTTGCAAACTGACCCCTGAAGTAGTACTAAGAGAGCACTGCCGTTGGTTATAAAAAGTAATATGCCCAAACTGTAAAGTCCATTTTTTTTTGTATTAAGTAGAATGACAGCTTGAGATCTCACAAGACAGGTAGACTTCCTGTGAAAAACCTAAAGGTACAATATAGTAAAGAAATATGTTTCATGAAAGTTATACTAGAGTGCTGCTCATCCTTGTCCCCACTCAATTAACTATCAAATCCTGTTGATTCAGACCCCAGCATATTTCTTGACTCATCTCTTTGCCATCTCCACCCCTGTACTAATGCATAACTACCAAACTGGGATCTCCTGATCTACTCTCTCAACTCTTTCAGCCCTATCCTCCTCACAGGGCAGAGTATTATATTTTTAACATTCATGTTAATTTCATAAATATCATACTTTAAAGAAAACAAAGAAGCAAAGCTTTTTTTAGATTCTAAATGGTGATAGTCTAAGCTCCTTAGGAATACATCCAAGAACTATTGCAGTATGGTATAGGTAGGTAAGTAGAAAGGAATATTGAGAAGTTGCCATTAAAAATGAAAATTAGCCCTAGCCATTTTCGCTCAGTGTTTAGAGTGTCGGCCCTCAGACTGATAGGTCTCAGGTTCCAATCCTGGTCAAGGGCACGGACCTCAGTTGCAGGTTCCCCAGCCGCAGTCAGGGCACATGTGGGAGGCAACCAATCAATGTGTCTCTCTCATGATAATGCCTCTCTCTCTCTCTCCCTCATCCCTGTCTTCCACTCTTTAGAAATCAATGGGAAAAAATATTCTTGAGTGAGAATTGAAAAAAAAAGAAAGAAAGAAAAGAAAATAAGTCAGAGGTCAGACAAAGGAATACCAAATCTTACCATGAATTAATTACAACTTTTCACAAGTTCTCCAAAGGGTAGTTAGGTATATGCAAACTGAGACAAAATGATAATTTATTATTAGCTAAATAATAACTTTGGTCCAAAGTAGAATACATGTGAGCTATGCTGGATAATGTGGAAAACTAGCTTGTTTTTGTTAGGGTCACCAAAGGAGGAATACAGGAGACCAAAGTGGTACGGGATTATAAATTTATTAGGTCATCTGGATACCAGATGGGCTGAGCCCCAAAATGACACCAGCACCCAGGGGTGGGGAGTCAGAGGTTTTAAAGGACTCAAGATGGGATTTTTCTGGGTGGAGAATTCTCTGGGCAGATCCGGATCCTGGGAAGGTCCCAAGGGGACGAATAATGGTCTTAGCAAATGGAATGTGGTCTTAGCAAGTGGAACATGGTCTAAGTGAAAGGGAATGTCTGTTGTGAAGTGGTCTAAAGGTCAGTTCTCGTGGAAAGGAGTAGCGATTCAATTATTTGATCAGACTTAACACTTTTCCTATGCTAGACTGGCCTTATCCATATGTTTCACCTTTAATTTAATTTGAAGTCTGAGTCCTAGATTTTTATTATCCAGTATGAGAAAGTCAATCCAGAGCCTACACACACACACACACACACACACACACACACACACACACACACACACAACTGAGCATGGACAGACACATGCCTAGGTTCTGAGCATGCAATGCTGAATAAAGCAGACATGGCCTTTGTTTTCTTGGAGGTTATAGTCTACTTAGTAAACATATCTTAAACATATTAACATCTTTGGGTAGATGTAGTGTGTGTCTGTCTCAGTTTTATGCAAGTAAAATAAAGAAGGATGTTATAATAAATGCAGATGCCATGAGATTATATCAGGAAGATCTAATTATATTGGAAA